ACAAATCGAGCACCACCAGCCAAGATTGCCACCGCATCGAGATTTCTGTGTACTGACAACCAACCAACTGACAACTGGTGAAACCGTAGAAGTTGGCAACCGTGAGCAATTCCACAATTTGCAATGGATCACGATCTCTGCCCCTCAACTTGTGTATCGCATTTCAATGACACGACCACATTCCGCGCTTTTTGCAGGGTTTCAATGGAAACTCTGATACTCAGATATAGATTTCCACTGTGGCATTGTCCACATCCACGGTAAGGCACGATGCGTTAATGATGATGATTTCTGTGGTCAACTTGTTTAAGTGGGCGCCAATTCCTTTCTTCTTCAGTCTCGGTCTCGGTCTCGGTCTCAGTCCCAGTCTCTTGTAATACGATACGAATACTCAATTAATTTCACTCTTGCTAACATTTGACATAATATGCGTTTCCATAACGTTTCCGGCCGTTGCTGCCGCATTTACCGACAAAGTACCAACAACAGCAGCAACAGCAACAACAACAACAACAACAACAACAAGATATGCAGCACGTCGCACACGTTTCTATCTTGTCCATAAATCTCAATATCAAAATATGCTAAATGACCACCCGTATGAAGCAGACAATAGTTCACCAGATGGAAATAACTAAAAATGCAAATAACTCCACGAATCGCAAATGCGTCTTGTATGTGTGTGTGCGTGTGTGTTTGTGCACTGAGAAAAATAGATTTCTAATTAAAATATTCACGTTTAAAAATTCCACCAACCCAATAAATATTTCTTTCTTTATTCACATAGATTTTTAATTATTTTTCTTATATATTTTGAAGCCTATAAAATCGTATCTGAATTTTGGTTGCTAACTCTTACATTCTTTTAATAATATTAAAATAATAAATACCCCTACAAGTTACTGTAAAGTTAATTAAAACTAATGTAAAAACTTGCTTATGTTCTAAAATGATACATTTTGGACATTTTCTAATTTACTTTCTGGTTTTAAGTAACATTTTGTACTGTGCATGTTGGTGTATCTGAGAGATACTCGCGCATAAATCTACAATAGTGACGCCGCCCTCCCCACGCCCCCCCAACCCATTGAAACTCCCGCATAAAAAATGCCTAGTTGGGTTCGTTTTCGATTCGGTTTTGTTTTGTTTTGTTTTGTTTTGTTTCGCTTCGATTCGGGGCGGTTCTTTCATTAAACGCGGCGCATGCAAACAATGAACCGTGTTGACAGGTTTCGTTTTTCCAACTCACGTTTGATTGATTTAACCTGAATCGCCTGACAGGTAGGAGAGCATTTTGGCATGCCCATGTCACGAGATACTCGCTGTACACACACACACACACACACACATACAAGGAACGAGATGCTCGATTTATACAAGATACAGCCTGCTTTAGTTATGGAAATCGACAGATACTTATGCTAAGCGCAGTTCAACCAACCTGGGAGGGAACGAATCCATTGAATGCCCCAGCAGAAAACGGTGTGTTTTGAAACTCTAAACTCAACTGTCGATCGCCACAATAAAGGAAAAAAGTGCGACAATCAAGCGAAGTTATGCAGAAACCAAGTGATATATACAAATCGGCATACATATTCATAAATACCTCAAATCGTATATCTATAATTACAGTGGAATATTTTCATGCTTACCAGTTTTCATTTGTTGTGTTCCAAAAAAAAAAAAAACAAAAATAAAATGTAATTTGAATAGACAAGCATATATATATAGAATTTAGACAGACTTCAAAGAGCTGTATAGCTTTGATCAGAATCGATTTACAGCTAGATTGAAATGCGTGCAGTTTTAAACAGTGGATGTAAGTAATTATGGTGGACAGCGACCGTTAGATGAGTTGAAATAGAGCGAGGCAGCGATACATGAATTTCCTTTTGGCTATATACCAAAGACAATTGACGACTGTCTATAGCTTCAAGCTGGACCCGACGCAACTTACCCACTTCAATCTACAGCACTCCACTCCACTCCACTCAACTCATGGATGCAGCTCATGATGAATGCGAGACGAGTGAAATGAGTTTGTGGAGTGGCGGTTGGAGGGGTTTTAAATTGATTGACAGTTGAATGATTTAATGAGCAACAAGATAAACGATGCTGGCCTGCCAACCGCAGCGAAATGAATTACTTATTTTCCATTTCATTCGAATTTCAATTTGAATCTCTCAAGGCACAAGCACACAATGCACACTTGCACACTTGCACACAGTGTGCACTGCGCTCAAATAAGTATCTGTTAGTTGTGTTGCCATTGTGTGTGCCACACATAGTTGTAACACGGCGGTTCATGAAAGATGCTTATCGCTCTAAAATCAAATAAAAAAATACAAACTCTTGCCGAGTTTTTCTTGCCCCGTCATGTGACGTCGTCGTCGTCAGCGACAACAATGACGAGATGACGACCACGCATTTTGTGTCAACCAGTCAACGGGGCTGGGAATTGATAAACTAATGTTAGCTCAACTTGTTGGAAAAAAATATACTCGTATTCACATTTGAGTTTCCATAGCTGCCCATTTCAATACTAAAAGCATAGCCCAGCAATGAAATGTTAGTGCAGCACGCGAAAAACGATGTTAAGCTTGTGAGGAATATTTTAAGAAATACTTTAATTGAAAAATCGATTCATAGAGATAAGCTTTTATGATTTCACAATCAATTTTTGCTACATTATGTAATATAGTTTCCAACTGGATTCGCCTTGCCCAGCTCGGACAAACGATAGTTTTTCTTTGAGTGTAGCTACCACAGCGATCTTGAGCAGCTACTCTTTAATTTTCCATTAAATTTCTTACACATAATTCAATTCGCCTCGCCATTTAAATACACATCTCCAAAGCGCAACAATTGCATTTAAAGCTCTTTTTCATTTATTTTCTTATTTCGCTGTTAATTTTTATGTCGTTTGCGTGTGATCCAGAGATAGATCCGGAAAAGAGACTGAACCCGTACCACACTTGTCCCACGCAACTCCCAGATGTTCAGATACTCAGATACTCAGACACTCGAGACACTCACGCAGCTCGCAAGTCCAAATATAATTTATGTATCGGTCAAATAATGTTTTTAGCATCTTCAAATTATGTTTTTCTTTTGGAAAGCATTGGGGAATCTCGTTGTGCGATTTAGATCTAGTCTCCTTCTTTCTTTTTATACCCATTATAAATTTATGTTTGAATAAATCAAATGAGTTAAAAGTGCATTTTTGTCTCTCATAATCAAATCTCAAGTGTGGCATAACTGTAGAAAAGCTCACAAAGACACTTTATAGATTTATTTAAAATCCAAAAGATAAAAGTTGCAAGTGCCACAAAACAGGTTTCCAATTGAACTTAGTTAGTGAGTTAACTACTAATGTATTATCTATATACAGTGTCTCACAGCTTATTTCCGGCAGTGTCTAGCAAAAATTTTAAAGTGCTATAAAGTTTAAACAAAGAAACAAACGCAAAATGTTTAAATGTCAATTTGTTTTATGTTATATCACGTTTGAAAAGGAAACTTCAGTTTTTATTAAAATATTAATTAATTAACTAAAATTAGTCAAAAACTGAAAACTTATCCAAAATACAGGGCAAATATTATTTCGACAGTCTCTAAGACGTATAAAAACTTAAATAAGGATGTTAATACTTAGTATGATATCCTTTAGCCTTAATAACTTCCCTTAACCTATTATTCATGGAAGATACCAGCTTATGGGTCGTTTCTGTACTAATTTTGGTCCACTATTCCAGCAGAGCATTCTTGAGATCCTGTTTGCTGGATATGTTGTGATTCCGGATGTTATTTTCCAGCAGAGCCCACAAATTTTCAATAACATTTAAATCTGGAGACTGGGCCGGTGGAATTATCATGTGGGCAGTTGCAGATAATCCAGGACTGTACTATTCCGGACTTATGCTTCGGGTCGTTGTCCTGGTAGAACCGGAAAGTACGTCGGATTCCTAGGTTCTTGGCACTTTGGAGTAAATTTTCCTTTAAGATATTGAGGTACACATTCTTGTACATTGTTGGTTCAATAAACACCAAATTCCCGACGCCGGCTGCCGAGATACTGTAGCCTTTAGGTGCTTGGGATTCAGCTTAGTGTTGGGCTGTCGCCACACATAATTCCGTCCGTCCGAGCCAAAAATGTTGAATTTGGACTCATCTGCAAATATGACTGTGTTCCAGAACTCCATATCCTTGTCCAAATGGGTTTTGGCGAACGTCATCCTTGTCCATTTATTTTTTTACGCTTATAAAGGGCTTCTTCCGTGGTACTCGGGCATTAAAGTCACGGTTGCGCAGAACCCGGCGCACAGTTTCCACACTGCACTTTTTCCCCATTTCATCCTGCACCTGTTGAGTCAGTTTTGGAGCCGATAGCTTGGGATTTGCCCTTATTTTCCTGATGATCCCCCGCTCTTCCCGTTCGGTGAAAATCTTGTTTGGTGCCATTCTGCCCTTGTCCTCTATCCGAATTTCGTCGAAGAAGCGATGAATGATGCTGTTTACAGTTGACCTGTTTAAATTGACCATTTCAGCTATTTGGCTATGTGAATATCCGTTCTTGAAGTGATCCAGGATGAGATTCCGTTGTTCAATGGTAGTCCGTTTGCCCATAGTCCTTGTTGACTGATTGCACCCGAGATGCAGGATATAACTAAACTGACTATGAAGGATTGGTCTATTTATACCGAAAATAATCAACATTACGTAAAAAATCCGGGTTTTATGGCACCCAGGTGTCCATAATGTCACTGTTGAAAATAAGCTGTGACCATAATTTCAGGTACTTTTTTACATAACCCGGCCCAGCCGGCGGGAAAACCCCAGTTTATGGGGGTCATATAGTCATTATGGTGGTTAATATATGTACCTGCCATAGGTCTTTGGAATTTTTGAAAAATATTGTATTATTAGTTTATGGCAGGCAATTAAAATTTTTGCTAGACACTGCCGAAATAAGCTGCGAGACACTGTATATTTCTATTGTAAGTCAGCTTTTTCGAATTAATTGTCAAAATTTTGCTTCTACACACTCGATTGGCGTTTCGAAGAAAACAATTTTAAAACGAGTTTAGGTCAATTGAAAATTGCAGAAAGATGCCAAGAACTTAACACCCCAATCCAGGATGTTAATTAGTTTACTACTCAATCATGCCGCACTGCGTAAGTGTTGCATTGGCTGTGTGGCATGTCGAGCCCCGCTGGGTGCAAGGTCAAGTGATCCACCTTTGAACTCTCGACAGCTGCACGGCAGCAAATGGAAGCGGCAAAATGCAATGAACGAACAGCAAAGGAAAATCATACCAAAGTTGGTATATCTGCACAATCCGTGGAAGTATCTGGTAACCAAGTTCAATATGTGGAGGCTCAAGTGGTTGTGGGATTATGGGTTCTGTGAGACGGAGTTTGTTGAGGGTTCCAAGCAGGCAGCCATTGTTATGACGGACATAATACGGCAACAGGGTGCGGAACAGCTTAGTGAGCTTACAACGCCAGTGGGCTTCCAGCAGATCACACGGGATATGCTGCTCTCCCGCAACGATACGCGACTGCAGCTGGTGCGCTTCGAGAAGGAGCACATCCGTCGTGCCATTCCCATGAAGGTGGCGACACGTAAGAATTTTGGTCGCAAATATGCATTCATTGACATGCTGTTCGTTGGCCTACGCAATACGAAGGACTTTGATTCACCCGCCGAACTGGCGGAGATCAACGATTTGTTGCGTCGCATGGATATTGAGTTGAAGACGCCACATGAGATTATCTCGGTGCCGCATCGCATTGTTTTTGCCGAGATTTTTATACGCTTTCGTCGCGATTACACGGCTGAGTGGAGACGCAAACAGGATTCGAGTCTGAAGCAAAACGATGCTCATTCCTTGGAGCAAACGGAATCCTCATCATCAGCAGAGGACCTGCTGATGGGACGCATTTTGTCACGCTTAAACGATCCGGGCTGGTCGGTGTCCTTTTACAAGATTCTCACCTTCGATGTGCTCAACTTTGACCCGAAGCCCAATCGGCGCTTTTGACAGAATTACTGCTAAATTATTTTGAATAAAATTTTGCGTGATATTTTTTTATTTTTTATTTTTATTTTTGTCGTCAATGCAACGAATTGATCTTTTAGCTGCCCGCATCGTATAATTTATTGTGTTAAAGTACGCTCACACCTTGAAAGGCATGTTATTGTTGTTTTCTAACAAAATGATGTTGTAATGAGCCCCATTACACGATTCGATGTTGTTGGCTCTTATCATTGTTATTATTGCTGTTGTTATTGTTGTTGTTGTCCGCCCTGCTTACATTTGTCGCTCTCGGCTCTAATTAGTTTTCAAACATGGGTTCGGCCTTGCCATGTTCCAATCACAGTCCGTTAATCAAAAGAGTTGGTTGGGAAAAAAAGAGAAAAAAAGAAATCAACATATGTCATTATCTGTACATATTTGTGTTCATGCTTTACACATTTTTGCATAATTTGTACAACATGCTAAACATCTTTTCCACATTATGTAAACTGTTGTGGGTCCCGTGACTCTTTTCGACATTTTACACGCTTTTCATTTCAATTGAAATCGATGCTCTTTAAGCATGAATAGAAAATGTGTTCAAATGATTGGAATGCTAATGGGAATACAAAAGAAAAGTTACTTTTCTGTTCTCATAAATTTGTCAAGTACCAAAGCAAAGCAACATATTTTAAATAAATCTTGATATTTCATATGTATTTTTTGTTGTTGTTGTTTTTTTGACCAGCCAACATTTCGTCTTTAATTCTACATTTTTAATCTGTATATTTTTAGTGCTTGTAAGCCACACTCCAAAAAACCCATTGCATTATTTGAAAGTTACGAGTTTTGAGTGACTTTGCTTCTTCTGAAAGCTATTTGCTCACGTTAAATAAGGAGAAAAACCTAAATCCTTACAGCTAAGAAGGCCGAGGAGACTGGGAAAGAATAAATAACAACATGTCAAAAGGGAGAAATAATTTAAATAAGAAAACACAAACAGCTGTTGCAGTTCTGAGCTCCGCCCGGAGATGAAAATGTGCCAGACACAAACACACACACACACACACACACACTGACACACACAAATCCTTATACAATAACACGCAGTTACAGTTACAAGCAAAAGGGATAATCTCATTATAATGAAACGCAAGTTATGCACGCGCAGTCGGCAGCCGCTAGATGGCGCCAGCGAGGCGTCAGTCAAGTGTCGCCCGCTCTCAGCTTAGAAGCAAATGAAGGAGTAGGCGAACAACAACAACAACAAAGTCGCAGCTGCCAAGGCAGAATATGGCACCCGGCTCTATTCCCACATCCCCTCAGCTCGTTCTGCTGCTCCATCGCTTGAGCTGACATGCAAAACACGCTGGCATAAATAAAAAAAGGAAACGGAATTAAAATAATTTATGTAAATACTTTGCCCTGGCCGGACAATTCAATCTGCGGCATGCTGTCTACTGCTTTATCTATCCAAGTTATTTTTTGTGTCGAGCACAGTGGTTACTCGGCTAATTGTGACAAGTGTAATTTGATACAAGTTTCGCAAAAATTAAATACAAATAATGAAAATCTGTTCGGGTCCAGTGAAAAGCCCAACCTCTGCTTGTCTACGATCTTTTGCATATTGTTTATTATGCAGCTTGCAGAATACATAAATTGACCTCATTTGCTCATCATTCTGCTCGATTCTCACATATAAGCCCAGCATAAGAGCTGAGAGTCGGACAAGACCATATCTATTTGATCGAGAAAGCTGATCAAGAATATATGTACTATATAGGGTCTGAGATGTCTCCTTCATGCCTTACAACAACATTTTCATTTCATCTGCAAGAGTATAATTAAAGAATTCTTTAAAGTCAAAACTCAAAAATTATTGAAAGATAAAATCGTCGAACTGTATTTGAATATTATATATATATTATACAAAATCGTCGAAAGCACTGTATTTGAATACTATATATATATATTCCTTTAAAATATAATAAATTATGTAAGATTCCTTTAATATGATTCAATATATTTGTGACGTCTTTTTCAACGAGCAATGACTCGTATTGCCTCACGCGAATACCAAATGATGACAAGCCACGACATATCTATAGATAATCTAATTCTTTAGAAAAATATATGAGAAAAAACCGTGAATATGCTATTTACCTTTGATTATTGTTTCTCGACAAGGAGTTATCCTTGACCTTTCCTCTCTGTCTCTCCTACACAATTCCTCTCGCATATTGAAAACGAGCATTCATCTATCATAGGATGAGCATCCTCAGGGCGAAAGCAGGGCAAATATTATGCGTGGTTTCGCTTTGGGAACGCACATTGGAAGATACGTTAGCCTCATTGGAAAGGTGAAAGTCGTAAGTGATATGAACTGGAAAGCGTGCGAGGAAATTTGGAGGTGCCTGTTCTGACTTGTCACCGCGAGGCGTGAGGATGGCAATGTGAATTTCTTTATATTTTGGGAGGACTTCAAACAAGTCTACCGAATTATTTGTAGGACCCAAAAAGTTCAATTTCATGAGCTAATTTATCGCATTGGGCAAATACTCCGGAGGTGCGGGCGATGAACTACGGATCAAAAGTTCACAGCTCGGGATCAGGACAACGATCCATGGAATCCATGTGCAATCTTATTTTAATATAAATTTCTAATCTTTAGCGTAATTTTTAACATTGCTTACAAAATACTAAATGATCAAATTTTATAAAAATTTTCTGTTTTATTGTTTTTCTGTCTCAAACCAATGTGCAACCACGCATCCTATGTCCACGTTTTAGTCATAAGCCGTCACGACTGCGGCTACTGCAGCAACAGTAGTGATGGCTAGTGGATGGATCCCATGCCTTAAGTATAACAAGCGGCTTAATTTCAAACTCATTTGCAAATATTTACACACAGAAAATGGAGGCGAAAAGGAAACCCTTTCGCACAACGGATGCGCAACCCAAATCCAAGAGTGTAACAGGTGCGACGACCCACAATGCCTCATCCTAAAAAAAAAAAAACAAAGACGGGTTCATAAACTTTTTTCATAAGTTCTTCTATACATACATTGTATCTTTTTTTGTGCTTTTCCTTTTGGAGATTAATTACAAGCCTTGCGTAATGAGCGGATTTCCGTTACGTTCTCCTCGTACATCTTGCGTTTAATAAAAATTGAATGAAATTTATGAATTATTTGCGCGCAACGCATAGAAATGCGGCCACCCACAAAATGGCTAACCGGAAAGGTGAAACGAGCACCGCCTGCAGTTCATGTCTGGAATCTCGGCAGCAACGTCTTCGTCGTCCGCCAATCGTTGATCTTCATTAGCGCCGGGTGCCCGGGCGCCGACGATGGCGACGACGACGACGACGATGAAGACGACGTCTTCATAGACATTGTTGGCTCCCCTGCTCTAAAGCTTGAAATTTATGGCAACGCATTTGCGGTGCGCACGCTTACGGTCATAATGCCATGGCCAGCAACAACAACAACTTAGAGTCGCGAGTGCTCGACTTAGAGATACCCTTTAGCCAGCTCTAAGCTACATTCACAGCTGCTAACTGTGTCTGCTAGGCAATCATTTTGGCTCTCAATTTTTAATATTGTTATTATTTGTTACAGAAAGAAATATATAATTTTAAGAGCATATATCTACGTATATATTCTCCAATTTTGGAGAGTGTGAGAGGGAAGCTATTAACAAAAGGGATAAAGATGTGTCGTAAACTTTATGACATCATTTATTTATCATACGTAAATCTATAATTAATGTGCTTTTGATCTTATTTTATAATAACTTTGACTTTGAAGTGTTAAAATAAATAAACTTCATTTATGTTAGATAGTTTTTATATACCCTAAGATTAGACTAAGATTAGACGAAGTTATTCTAATCTAGATTGTCTCTTCATTGTTTACTTTATCGAGTTGAAGATATTTTCTTCACATTGTTACACAGACTTCATGATAGCCTTCTTAACCATTTTTAATGGATACAGGGTATAAGAACAACAACAACAACAACAAGCTCTAGCTAATAAAGCGTCGGAGTCGTTGTCGCTGTCGCTGTTGTTGTCGTTGTTGTTGTTGTTGTCATGGCTGTCCTTTATTAGTTCATTGCTTTGCTGTCTCTTTGCTTTTGGCGTTTCTGGGCTCTGGGTTCGCGGTTCTTGGCTCTTGGTTCTCGTATCCATTTACACTTGGATATTTATCGCCTCGACCTCCTGTGCCGCGACATGCCGTCAAATGGAGTTGTCCCATAATTTTGAGCCGTGAACAAGCTAAATACGCCATTTAACACAACATTTAAAATACATATCGATCGTATATCAAAAGCTCGTTTCATTTTCATTACATAATCACAGTCAGCCAGTGTGTGTGTGTGTGTAAAAAGTTGTTAATGCATAACTGAATTCATTGGCACTTGAGTGTTTGCCTGCACAAACATTTATTGCAAATTATTTGAAAGTTATGAAGAATTATGCTAGAGTTAGTAAAGTATTTGCTATATATTTAGAATTCTGTGTAGGCGTAAAGCGCTACGGAGTCAGGTAGTCAAGTCTGCTGATGGTAGAAAATTCTTTATCCTACCACTTATTATTTATAAACAAAATTGCATTGAAGCCAGTCAGTTAATAACCTAAAAACAAGTGTAACAATTTTTCACAATTTTCTGCAATTTGGGTGTGAATTTTAATACGCTTTAAGACTATAAGCCAAACCAAGTCATACGTTTCAAACACCACAGGTGAGTAGTCTGTCTGCTTCGAACAACAAACCGATAATTGTATGCTGGCAAATACATATTTTCAATATTTATGCAGTTAAAATCGATTCGCTGGAGCTCTCAGACAATTGTAATGTCATTTGCATTCGTATTCAACGATGGCAAACAGCTTTTAAGCTGCTTTATTTATTTGCTGTTGTTTATTTTTGCTTTACTTAACTTGCCTCCAGGCCCTGGACATCGCTCATAAAAATGTCGACGATTTGCAGAGACATGGCGGCACAATATTTACGGTGCACACTGTATTTAAGAACTGGCTAAATTGCCACTTGGCGCCAAAGCGAGAGCCCCTATCCG